ATCAGATTTAATCATTCTTGGCCCTAAATCTAAACACTACAAAAGCCAAAAATGCCTTGTTTTCCCCTTTATTCCTGAATTTGAGGCAGAACTTATAAGAATCGTTAAAAACTGCAGTTGGGTTTTATTTTTACAAGCTGCTCACACAAGTGAAAGAATAGGTAGCAAGGGGGTTTCTTCTTAATAAAAAAAATTAATGTGTTTGAGTTAAAAATACTCTAAGAAATTTGTGATTCTTCAGTGAATCTTGTGTTGTCAGCTCATTAGTTCAGTTCATTAGATGTCATTCTAAATATTTTAAAAAGTTACTTTGATATTGACAAAGAAAGGAAAAATGTGAAAGTTTCTTTTGCAAGAACATATTCAACAAAGTAACCCAGCAGGAATTCTTTATTTCTCTGTGCTATGTTTTTCTAGTTAGGTAACTGAAAGGAATTACAACATCAATTTAGCCTAATGAAAAGAACTTACAATATTTTTAAAAAGTTAATTATTTGACCTGTGAAACTGCTGAGCTAAAATATATCTTCTTTTAGCCTTGATCAGAAAATCCAATTTAGTTGTCTGAGAGGAAAGTCTACTTCTCATGAGATGGAAGAACATCTACTCTAAAGAAAATATGGAGTAGCAAACATTCCATACTTGAAATAAAGGAGGAAAATATCCACGAACGTTCTTTAAAAATAACATTTAAAACAATCTAGTTATACAGATACCACTGGTGAACACTGGTAGTGTTTATAATGCATGTTAACTGGATTAGGGCTACTCTTCTCTGAATGCTGGGTAGGAAATGATGTTTCACACACGCCGGAGAAGAACACCAATGCCACAGCATATCAGTCTCCATGAAGGGATGCGCCATCTTTGCCAAAGGGTAGCAGCATTTGAAATACTTGAATATTTTGATTCCTTGAATTTTTCAGAGCTTACAACAACAACAACAAAAATGTGAGTATATAAACTAAAGGATACAGAAGAATAGTTTTTATCTAGATAGGGCAGGATTTATTATCCACTACTTGGACTAAAGAACTTCCTCCATTTGTTTCCGTGTGATTTCTCCTGAAGCACAGACATTACATAATGTGCAAACACTGCAAGGCCTGTACAAGTCAAGCTGGCAAGTTAAGGGTCATTGTCTAGATGACAGTCAAGTCACAGAGAAGGAGACCTGCAGGGGGAATATCCAGCAGGACCAGACAGTACTGCTTCTTTCCCCTTGGCAACCCTTCTCTTCATGAAACCTGAAATCATGTCACCAATTCATGTGACTATATGAATATTGGTTACCTTCACCATATGTGGGGCATAGGCTCTGACAGAGCCCACTAATCATCTACAAGGGGGTCAGGTCTTCTATTTTGAGCTCTCTCTCAGCTGGGACCTTCTTCCATTTGTAGTAAGCAAGCCAATAGGAGTTGTATAAGGATGGCAAAGGCATGTCTGGACAAAGCTTGCTTCTGTGAGGGTTGTTGCCAAGAGCAGGCAGAGCGACACGGGATCCAGAGGAGACAGGTGAGAAGAGGTGCCTAGGATATTTGAGACTCTTAGTTAATGATCAGCTTGGGGACACTATTAAGAGACTGAACTAAGTATCCAAGTAGGGAATGAACTGAGAACCCAAAAAAGAAAGAGGACAAGTAATTCTTATCTCCTTTCTCTTTACCCAGTTACACAGACTGGGTAGGTAATGGGAATAAAATGGAGGCTACTGAACTAATGAATACTTGGATATCAGAAGGCCATATCTAGAGCCAATGAGTTAGAAGACTAGAGAAGGAAAGGATGGAAGATGAGGGCTATTCATTTTCAAGTTTATTTGTTGGAATGAGATGAAAAATGTTCAGTCTGGTTTATAGTACATTTTGCATGTGGCATAACTCTACTATGGTTGTGTGGGAAAGGAAGTCCAGATTCCTCAAGCAACAATGTGGCTGGAAGGCTCTGGTTGTGGTGAATGTGTCCTGTGTCTAACCTGCCTTCTCCCTGTTTCCTGAATTTGGGGCTGCTAGAAGACGTAATTGGAGGTCAATCACTGCAGTTAAAAGGAAGACTCCTTTCTTTCAAGTGTAGTTTTTGGGGCCTGCTTCTCTAACAGGCATTTATAACTTGGAAAAATACCTTTTTATCAATACCTTTTTAAATAAAAAATAAGTGTTTGACTATATGTTATATGTATAATATATTCATAAGTATATAATTGTAATTCATTTTACCTAGACTTTTCATTTGTAAATAAAGAAACAAATACATATTTCTTATATCCCATGTCCTAATTTGGGCTTAGAAAATATTTCCAAGGAGGCATAAGGAAAGCATGGTAGCTGCCTTGGAATGTGCTCTTAGTCCTAGGGCTGTGGGTCCTCAACCTTCTCGTGTCTCAAGGATAAAGAACACCTAATTTAGGCAGTCAGAATGAAGAAAACACTTATCCTAGGGAGGAAAATGAAGTCCCCAGCTGAAGAATACTTTTATTTTTATTTTTATTTAGTTTTTGGTACTGGGGATTGAACCTGGTGTTTAATCACTAAGCCACATCCCCAGGCCCCCTCCTTTTTAAAAAAAATTATTTAGAGACAGGGTCTTGCTTAGGACCTCACTAAGTTGCTGAGGCTGGCTTTGAACTCATAATCCTCCTGCCTTAGCCTCCTGAACTTCTGGGATTATAGGCATGTGCCACCAGGTCTGGTGAATGCTTTTATTTTTAATTTAATTCTTATTTAAGATAATTTTAGAGTCACATGCAAGTTTTGAGAAATATATGAACCCTTTACTCAGTTTCCCCTAAAAATTACATCTTGCAACACTACAGTATAGTATTACAACAAAGACACTGACACTTATACAGTCAAAATTTAAAAAAAAATAATTCCATCACTGCAAGGATCTCTCTTGTTGCCCTTTTATAAACCTACTCATTTCCATCCTTGCCCTCTTTCCATCTTTAACACTTGGCAACTATTAATTTATTTTCCAAATCTGTAATTTTATAATTTTCTGAATGCTATTACATGGAGTCATACCTATGTAAATACCTATGTAAATTTGGGGATTTTTCCCCCACTAAACAATACTGTAGAGACAGATTACACATTTGTGTGTGTGTTAAGAGCTAGTTCCTTTTTATTGTTGAGTAGCTTTCTGTGGTATGGCTACATCAGACTTTGTTTAGCCATTCACCCACTGAAAGACATCAGGTTGTTTCCAGTTTTGGGTTATTATGGTCTTTGTGTAAACATAATTCTCATTCATCAGGGATGAATGTCTGTAAATGCAATTGCTAGGTTCAATGGTAGTTGCACATTTAGTGTTTTAAGAAACAAGCTGTTTTTTCCCTAAGTAGTATATAATTTTATATTATAGAAGCAGAGTACGAGTGATTCAATTTTGCCGCATCCTCACTGGAGTCTGCTATTGCTATTTTTCATTTCAGCTCTTCTGATAGGTATATAATGATATTTCATTGTGATCTTAATTTGCATTTTCATAATAATTAATGACGTTGAATAACTTCTCATGTGCTTACTTGGCATCTGAATAACCTCTTTAGTAAAATGTATGTTCATGTCTTTAATCCGTTTTCTAAGTGGATTGTTTGGATTTTTATTACAAGGCACATTACTGATCTGAAAATATGAAATATGAAACTTTTTGAGCATAGAAGTTTCAGATTTGGGAGAGTTACAGATTTTGAATTTTTGGATCGGGAATGCTCAACTTGTACAGTCTATGCAAATATTTCCCCAAATCCAAAAACCTCATATATCTGAAACACTTTTGGTACCAAAAAAAATGCTGGGGGTAGGAGGAGAGGAATCATAAGGGGAATTAAGATAATCTTATTGAAGAACATATAGAAAATTTCACATACGTTTGCCAGAATTTCAAATGTTGCTTTCCATTTGGTCTCAAATAATTTCCAAAGATGAACTGGCCCTGAGAGATCACCTAGTGTAATTCTTAATTTGATCAACAACAGAACCAAAGAGGGAAAGTGACTAAATTGAGGCCACAGATTCAGTCTAGGCTGACCCAGTTTGAAAGCTGAGGGTTTCTGGTCCCAGGCAGCGCTGTTCCCACACACCATACAACCCCTTGTCTGTAAACAGGAGCAAAAGGTGAGGAGTTAGACCAGAGAGTCTTCTTTAAGGGACATCTCCAACTTCAACCTCTGGCAATTTCTATGACTGTCCTCAGCCTTGCTTTCCCTCTCCCTCTCTCATCTTTTTGTCACTACTATGTTAAGGCTATAATAAAGAATGGGAGTTGGAGAGAGGAGAGAAAAAAAATCCACAAATATAGAATATATATTAAGCCTTGTATCTGTGATGACTGTTGATAGATACATATTTGGAAAACAACTCACATATTAAGTGTAGCTGCACAGCTGGACAGGGACCGTGGTTAGTTAATCACTGTGCATGTGATTCTGTGGCATTCTCAACACAGGAGATGATGCTAAACTTTTTTCAGGAGTCCTGCCTTTACCATCAATTAGGGCAAAAAGACAACTGCAGCAACTACAGTGAAAGACACACTACCTGGCTCTGAACACTGTGGTGTGATGATTAATCCTTTTAGAATTTAAGCTCCCACAACAAGATTTAAAGGAGGAAAATAAAAGCATAACCTGTCTACTCCACTGGAATAGTGGGCCTGGTTTTCTTAGGCTGATTTTGCAAAACACTGAACCAACAAGGCAAACCCTGGGCTCCTAGGAGGACTCAACACATGCTACGCACTACACACAGAACTGCTTCGAGACTGGAGAAACAGAAGCATAGGTAAAATTAAAGTTTGATGAGGCTTTTCTACCCATTTGCATTACAGAACTCCCTTCACTCACTCCTGTTTCTAATTTATTTATCTCTGGTTTTAAACCTTTGGGGAGGAAATCCAACAAACAACTGCTTGCTTGATATTCATCCTCTGCCTAAGATTTATCTGTAAATATTTCCTTATTCAACAATAACATATACCTTTTAAAATGTGCTTACCAAGGCAGAACGGTTGTAATATATTCGTCTGTAAAAATTCAGTCTTCAGGTTCATTACTTGAAGGCCCATTCTTATTATCAAGGACTTGATTTTCTCAGGACATGGTTTAAGTAATAAGTAGCCAGTGACATAGAGAGCATATCGAAACCAGCACAGAAATGGAGTGGCAATCCTGCCATTGGGTGACTCAGCCATTCGCTCAATGGTTGGGAATAGCAGAAAGGTGTGAATGACCTAAAATAAACAAACACACTTTGATGAGAGGTTTTCTTAAGGGATAACTCATTCCTTTATTGTTTCTCTACATAATAATGACAAATGACTAGATTAGAATATGATTAGACTCCCCTTCAGATTGAGAAGAACCACCACCTATTGCTTTCCCTCTCAATTCATAACCAGTTTGGACAGGATCTAAGGATGTCTCTTGGGATGTTGGGGTTAATTTTCAGGGAGGGGGGATTTGGAGTTGATTATTCAGTTTGTTTGGCTTTTCACTTGTTAGGATGGAGTAGCAACTTCTAAACTCTTACACATGGACCTGGAAAGCAGAAGTCCTATTAACATTTTTGTTCATGTCTCTTGGTGCAGGGGTGCCTGTATTTTGGTTGGCTCTATTACCTTGATGTCATATGTGTCATATGGTATGGCATGCATATATTCTGCTTAGGAGACAATTCCAATTTTTTTTTGGTGCCTTCCGTAAAATTTTATTTTTTATTTGCCTTTTTAGTTATACATGACAGTAGAGTCAATGTTGACATATTTATACAAATGTGGAGAATATCTTAATCTAATTAGGTTACCAGTCTCGTGAATGTGTATGATGTGGAGATTCACTGTGGTGTATTCATATATGTACATAGGAAAGTTAGTCAGATTCATTCCACTGTCTTTCCTATTTCTTCCCCCACTTCCCTTCATTCCCTTTTATCTAATCCACTGAACACCTACCCCACCCTTGTGTGTTAGCATCCACATATCAGAGAGAACATTTGACCAAAGTATTTGTACCAGTTATTACCCAGCAGTAGCACATGCCCACCAACAGTGTGTTCAATGTACAAAGATTTCAATTTCCCTACATCTTCACCAACACTTATAATCTTGTGCTTTTTAAATAGTCATCCTAACATGTGTTAGTTGATATAGCATTGTGGTTTTAGTTGGCATGTCCCCGATGATTAGCAATGTCAAGTACCTTTTCATATACCTGAGTGGCCACTGGTATGTTTTCTTTGAAGAAATATCTATTCAAGTCCTTTGCCCATTTTTATATTGGGTTCAGATATTTTTTTCTTTTTAATACTCATTATCCTGTGTCTTATTTAAGAAATTCTTCTCTAACCCCAAATCATGAAGATACTATTTTTTTCATTTAAAATGTTTTTTTAACTCAACTAAAAGTGGATCAAGGACCTAGGAATTAGACCAGAAACCCTATGCCTAATAGAAGAAAAAGTAGGCCCAAATCTCCATCATGTTGGATTAGGCCCTGACTTCCTTAATAAGGCTCCTAAAGCGCAAATAAATAAAATCAAGAATCAATAAATGGAATGGATTCAAACTAAAAAGCTTCTCAGCAACAGAAACAACCAATGAAGTGAAGAGAGAGTCTACAGAATGGGAGCAAATTTCTACCACACACACATCAGATAGAGCACTAATCTCCAGGATATATGAAGAACTCAAAAAACTTAACATCAAAAACAAAAAACAAACAACCCAATCAATAAATGGGCTAAGGAAAAGAACAGATACTTCTCAGAATAAGATACACAATAGATCAACAAATATATGAAAAAATGTTCAATGTCTCTAGTAATAGAGAAATGCAAATCAAAACTACTCTAAGATTTAATCTTACTCTAGTCAGAATGGCAATTATCAAGAATACAAATAACAATAAGTATTGGTGAGGATGTGGGGGGAAAAGCACACTCATACATTTCTGGTGGGACTGCAAATTGGTGCAACCAATCTGGAAAGTAGTATGGAGATTCCTTAAAAAACCTGGAATGAAACCATCATTTGACCCAGCTATCCCACTCCTCAGTTTATACCTAAAGGACTTAAAAACAGCATACTACAGTGACGCAGCCACATCAATGTTTATAGCAGCACAATTAACAACAGCCAAACTAAGGAACCAACCTAGATGCCCTTCAACAGATGAATAGATAAAGAAACTGTAGTATATATACACAATGGAATATTACTCAGCGATAAAAGAGAATAAAATTATGGCATTTGCAGGTAAATGGACAGAGTTGGAGAATATCATGCTCAGCGAAGTAAGCCAATCCCCAAAAACCAAAGGATGAATGTTTTTTCTAATAAGTGGATGCTAATCCATAATGGGGGGGGCATGGGATGAGTGGAAGAATTTTGGATTGAGCAGAGAGGAAGGTGGGGAGGGGAGGGGAGATGGGAGTAGGAAAGATGATGGAATGAGACAGACATCACTACTCTAGATACATGTATGATTGCACCAATGGTGTGATCCTACTTTGTGTATAACCAAAGAAGTGATAAATTGTGCTCCATCTGTGTAAAATGAATCGAACAGCATTCTGCTGTCTTGTATAACTGATTAGAACAAATAAATAAATAAATAATTTAAAAAATAGAATGTTTCTTTAATAAATTAGATTGTGTTACCTACAATGTAGGTTTAAACCTTTGGCTATATTTAGCTTCAGTTGTGATCTGGTGCCTTTGATATCAGATATCAGAGATTTCATTTACCAATTCTGTTATGCATTTACACTCCTCCTTCTTTTTTTAAATAATTATTTTTTAGTTGTAGTTGGAAACAATACCTTTATTTTATTTATCTTTATATGGTGCTGAGGATTGAACCTAGGGCCTCACATGTGCTAGGCGAGCGCTCTACCATTGAGCCACCACTCCAGCCCTACACTCCTCCTTCTGAAAGAAGTAAATGCTTCTCCCGTAGTCCCTGAGAGTAAAGGTGGATTTCATGTCTTTTTCACCTGCTGCTGTACACAGGCCTTTTTCATAGTAGCCTGTTTGATGGCAATGCCCGAATGTCAAATTCCATAAGATATTCCCTGTGATTCTGCCTTCATGTATCTCTTTAATAGAAAACAGGGCCTTGAGGGCCAAAACTGTGGAGGACTTTTTTCTTTCCAGCCATATTTCTTGTTTTTCCTTTGTCATATCACTCAGCTAAGTGCTCAGCTATTTCCTGTAGACTTTTTCCTTTTCTCTCAACAAGAATTGAGATATTTTAGCTATTTCTTTTTTTGGTTATAATAATCTGACCTCCACTGGATTTCCTCCTCTACCACATAATAAGAACATATTGTTCCTTGAACACCTGTATGACCTTGATGATGAGTGAAAAACATTTTTGGGAGGAGGAAGCAACATTTTCAGACAGTTTTTAAATGTTAGATTGACAATAATGCAGTGCAAATGCTTCTAATGTGTTTTTGGAATAAATGCAGGATTTCAGTCAGAATATGAAAGCGAGATTTTGCTACTCTGGCATCTTCTCAAGTAAAGAGCAGAAGAGGGAGTGCTGGATTGATTGAACTATGATTAATAAATGCTTCATGCGGCATGCAGTGGGTACTTGTGATGGAGATGTCATAGGCTTCAGTAAGTCATCAATGACAGACTCCAAAAGCCACAAATCAGAGCCAGTTGCCTGAATTGTCTTGGGCTTAAGAAATTGCTCATTCTGGATGCCACTTTCATCATAAACTCCAACTCAGGGCATTCCAACACAGAGAAAGAAAGATCAGCTCTGGAAAGCCAGCACTTTTCTAATGGCTGATCAATTTCTTTTTCCCCTTCTAGCATAACAAAGGGATACAACATTCCTGATTCACTGATAATCACTAAGATGTTGAGGACACAGATAAGCAGAGTATATAGCACAACCATCATAACTAGTCATTTTCAGGTACAGGAACTATAAGCAATGAACACAGCAGCTTTCCAGGTCTCCAGAGCTCTGGAGCAGAAATCTTCCCACTGTTACATTGAGGTACAGTGGTTATGCCACTATTTCACCTTTGCCTGTTGTCCAAAGATATTTATTTTTTCAGGACTGCTGTCAATAGCTCAAATTCATGTTGACTGCTGTCACTTTTAGAGTTGTACCCTATGCCGTTCAGACCGGCAAAATTTAATAAGTCTAATAATACTAAACATTGAAGAAGATGTAGATCAAGAGGAACTCTAGAACACCACAACATTTATAAAATATTACACTTCTCTCTTCTGTTTTTTAAAGTATAGTTACCTTAGTATATGTCTGGAGCTCACACAGAAAGTGTGATATTATATTATATTATCTAATGTTAACAGTACAATTTAAGGATCTGATATTTTACTTGGATACTTAACAGCGTGCGTGAAGAGTCTGAGAGGAAAAAAGAATGAAAAATCTTTCTGTACTCAGGGTAGTGCTACAAACAACCACTTATTTTCCACCTTCAAATTCAGAGTTCTTCTATCTCTTTAAATTAATTTTAATATTATGAGTCCTTTTATTCTTGAAAGTGCTATAGACGTTCTGTTGGACTTCAAAAGACTTGATGGATTTCAAACGGGTGGTTTATGTGAAGACGTAGCTGGTAGAAAAAGGAAGGGCTCTTCACTACCCTGCTGAGGGCTCCTAGGTGAAGGGCTAAGGAGGCTACCTCTCCATCCTGCAGGAAGAGCTTTCCCTATAGGCCAGGGAGTAGATTTCTTGCTAGCAGCTGAGGCAGCAACAAAGAAAACTATGAAGCTGACTTCTCAACTGTGGCTGTGTCCTGGCTTGTCAGTCCCACCTGGAGCTACAGGAACAAGATCTGGTAAGGAAGCCAGGTCAGCCAGTTTACAGTTGCTGCAGAGTCCCGGGCAGCCAATATTCCTGAGCAATATCTTGAAAAGCCTGATGGTTTTGCCTTTCACATTTAGGTCCATAATCAACCTGAAACTTATTTCCACGTATGCTATGAAATATGGGTCTCATTTAATATTTTACCATATGGAAACCCAATTGTCCTAGCACGATTTAACTGCAAAGGCTGACCTTTCCCTGCTTTTCTGAATGATACTCATGTTGTAAATCCTGTATATGTGTGAATGGACCCAAGTTAGGGATGTTTAATTTGTCCCACTAGCCTAGTTTTTCTAACTCTGTGCCAAGATCACAATGTCATATTTACTAAAGCTTCATATATATTTTGACAGTTGGTAGGGCAAGTTTATTT